TCCCTCCCACTCCATTGCCACCAGACTGCGCAGTCGTGCTCTCTCTCTAGCGCAGCCAACACTGAAGTATGCCATGCAAAGTGAAAAAGGAACAAAGGAAAAGATTGAGGCCAGCCCCCTCCCCTTTCCTAACTGGTGAGATATTTAGGTTCAGATCCCCCAAGGCAGAGGAAGGAACTAAACCTAGGTGTCCCATAACCTGGGTTAATGCCCTAACTTTCGGCTACTAGCTCAAAGGGGAGGACCTCCCCCATCGTCAACATCTTCACCTATTAGACCTGTATTTGTAAATAGTTAAAATGGTTTGTAAATAGTTACAATATTGTAAATAGTTAACTATTAACAATATTGTAAATAGTTAAAATGGTTTGTAAATAGTTACAATAGACACTGGTGATGCGTGGGGGGGTGCACGTGCCCCCCCTGAACGTGGCAATGCACTCCCTGTGAACAGGCAGCACTTGCTCCCTGCCCCCCTGACAGCGCTGCGGCTGCCTGCAGGAGCTTGCTGTGCCCCCACCCTCCAGCCTCCGGGGGCATGTAGTGTTCATGATAATAGAAATCTCATCTTTTCAGACTATAAAGCATTAGTTTAAAACAAAATTGCTCATACCTAGTCATATTGTTCATACCTAGTCAAGAGGCTTCGGGCTAAAACAATGGTTCTCAACTGGGCTGCAACAGCACCCCACGGTGCTCCAAGGCCCTTTCAAGGCTGCCACAGCATGGACATGGCAGCTATAGCCACTTCCAGGTAAAAATGCCTCACACATCTCCTCTGGAGCTGGAGAGGGGAGTAGAGGCAGGAGCAAGCAAGGAGGCACAGCTAAGGTGCAAAGTGACCCTGCATGCTGGCCCCATATGGTATGCAAGACTATGTCACCTGGTGCGCAGGGTTTTCTGCAGAGCTTTCCACAGGTCCAGAAAACTGGCATCAGGGGAGCAGCAATGAATGCTGTCACCAAACGTCTGGACCCATGGGGAGTCCCTTAGGCCTGATGAAATGACTTCTGCAGGCTGGATCTGGACTGTACGCCAGAGGCTGAGCACCATTTCTGAGAACTAACCAGGTACTTATTCAAAATAAGGCTGCCTGGTTACTTAAGATGCCCAAATCCTATCCTTTTAAACTCTACCTGAACTAAATAGACTAGTACTGTTGACAAGTTTCAGCTTCCTGGAAATGTTTTACCTTGACGTGACAGTCCCTCAAGAAAACAAATTGTGGACGTGGAACTGGAAAGGAAAGGAGCCCTAGCAAAGGCTGCTGAGAAGAGTCACTGAATCAAAGCCACCACTGCCAGCTCTACTTCCAGCTTCTAGTCTTCCCAGGAGCTTCATGCAACTGCCCCTACTGGCATGCAGCTCCTTCCCGTGACCGCAAAGGAAGTTTCTATCTCACTGTCTTCTCTTCAGTGATGGATGGGATCCATGTGGCAGGGTTTACACTACCAGATGCTGGCACAATCCCAGGCTCAATCTAGCCATAAGGTTTAGCTATATTTTACTTTCATAACATTTATTAAACTTACACCGGAGTTAAGCTCATTAAAAACTCGCATCATGTCTCCTCAGCAGTAGGGTCCAGCTGTTGTGCTAATGATATCATGGGCATAATTACAACTGTCTGCATTAATAAGTGTTGTTAGCCCTACGTGGAATAATCAAGTCAAAACTTCCTAGATCTCCCCCCACCCAGCAGTACCCAAACACACCCACCCTCCAACCTCACTTCGAAGACAAAGGCACCCAGTCTTTAAACTGGAAAGCACAGATTTACCTTGTTTTCTCCCTTCCTGCATGCCAGGCTCTGCAGGTGCCCCTATTCCTCTTTCAATGAAACGGCACCAGTGCAAGCTTTGTTTGCTAGGTTTATATTGCCAATTAGGAGCTGTGCTTCAGCTGCACAGAAACCCCATGCACGGGACTGACTTTCTTTGTGTGCATGTATGCAGATTTCTCAAAGTGGCTTTTACAGTACAAAACATTTCATGGCTCACGCTGCCCAACAAGTATGCAATTTAGCTAGATAGCCATTTCAGGGGCACAAATATCTTCTAACGGAGTCTAAAAACAAGCAAATATTGCTGTGTTGTTCTCCTTTGCTTAAATTGTTAGTGTTTTAAAACATCTTCTTTTCCTTACCCAAGTCACCCTGTTAAATAACTGCATTTTACGTAATTATGGACTGCTACACGTTCCTTCATTGGTTTGTTGTAACCTGCCTCCTGCAGACAACTTACGCATGCAAATGATATTCATACACCTCCAGAACAGCTAAACAGACTAAATGGCCTTTAGCCCAGTAGAGCGCATGTTGGTTACATATTCAGTCTCCCGTCTTTTCTTAAGACATCCGGGAGAAACGTGGAGAGGAAGGGGAGAAGAAAGAGAAGCACATGTGACAGGAAAGTACATGTGTAATCAAGGGTGTGAAGTGAATGTGAATCTGCTGCAGTAATTAAAGACCACACTCCAAGCCTGCTTATCTGTTCCTTTCTTCTCTCCGCATTTAAATTATATTTGCAATCAGGGAAATTAAGGTTTTTCTTTTTTTACAGAAATGATAAAGGAGGAGGAAGTCTGTTTGGATTTTCCTCCTCACTATAGCAACGTGGAAAAGAATTCCTTAGTATTTTATCTTGATTTTATGGCATCTGGTTTTATCTTAGTATTTTATCTCGACTTGGTGGTATCTTAGACAATATTCTGGACATTTTCTAAGCTAAAGTGAAATATAAACAAAACTCAGCATTTTGAGGATTTATAAATCCCAGAGATGTCCAAAAGAAAACTGATTATCTGGAGATACTTCAGGTACTTATATTACCTTACAAGTCAAGGTCCATCAGAGCTTAGATTTTACAGATTGTCCACAGTTTACTGATATCATTTCATTTATCAATGAAAGGCAACCACTTCTGTAGCTGAAGTTGGCAGCTTTGGAGCAGTGCACAGCAACGCTACTCATCTGTTCAGGATTAAACATGAGAAGACTATCCAAATGAAATACAAAGAGGACTTTGAACAGACAAAACAAACCTATCTTTATGGACAAAAGCCAGGTTATTGAGCTAACTGACTTTCTTTTACAGTCTGATGGGGAATATCACGGGCATAAGTTGTCAGGTTTTCTCTCTTAATGCACAGATAAAAGCTACATTAAACGTGTTGCTAAAAGAGTTTCTACGCTCATACCTTCTAGTATTCAATTTGTCAAACAAAAGGAAATGAAGCTTCTTTGGCAACAGTATGCTAACTCTAACATGTGATATGCATATTTTAAAGAAAATAAATCGCAGTATTGTTACAGACATGTTTTGTACACACAGCTATGTTCCTGTGTTGCGCTTTACCATGAGTAGTCTTAACATTCCTAGTAACCCAGCATGATTTTCTTCAGATGACATTAGCATATCATTACCTTCCACCTCTGTTGAAATAAGGCTCGTAATCAACTTTCTATTACTGATCCATGAGCATATCATTCTATTTATAACGATCTATAGATACTGGACTAGTTTTGTACTATTCCCACAACACTGGAAATAAGGACGCTGATTTAATATAGAAAATCCACAGGCAAATTCTCTAAACACCTTTGTATGCCTTTGTTCCATGAACAATGTTATAAACCTGACACTCCACTAGGTTACTGCAATGTAACTCCACAAGAGAGAAGAGCGCAGGAAGTTGCTTGTTTTTATAACAGAAGTCTTATGACCCCAAAATAACAGCACTAACAGTCAAGTTCTAACTGGAAAACTGGACAGCTTACAATGTTTAAAACATACAAACTATAATATTAAAAAAAAAAGCCACAGCAAAATGATTCTGGCAAAATATTTCTCCTTGCAACATCTAATTTTCCAGAAGACACTCCAATATGCAATAAACTGACAGCTGAATAAAATACAACTTTGCAATCCATTCTCATATCACCTAGCCTTTGGAAAGACAGTGAACACCATATTTTCATAAGTGATATACTCATTAGAAATCCTGCAAAATAAAAACCATTCTGTGAAGGCACAATGTTTCAAATATGTAGGTGTGTGACATAGTCCATCTTTAAAAAACCGGTGAGTGGACTTATATTTGCCTGGACAGTGGGATATTCTACAATATAGGTATGCTTGGTTCTTTCAGATTGTTTTACAAAGACTGCCAACAGTAAAAAAAGGTCATTTTAAACTGCTGGTAGTTACAAGTAACACCTACAATTACTAAAAGATTAAGGGGAAATCTTCTTCTTTTTGCAGCTGACCATCTCATTTTACCCTCCTGCATAGCCATATTTTCCTATGGACAATATGCAAACCCACAAAACCTGAGACGGGGATGTCATATTCTGTAATGACATCTCTGTCTTTTGTCTGAATTTGAGTTAATTTTCATCTGATGGTTGCCCTTTCAAAGTACTGTAGAGAAGTGAGGGGACTTGGCTGGTGTTTCACTGGGAGTAACCTCTGGACAGTTATGGACTGCCACGAGCTCTGAGGACAAGAAATATAGTGGCAGCTTACGCAGAAGATAGAGGCCTCTTTTGGACCTCTCCTTTCCCACGATTGCTGAACCCTTGGCTCCACTGGTGAATGTCTTATATTTGAGGGAGCAATAGTGAGCAGCTAACCTGCAATTTGGGGGTCCCAAAATGGTAAAATAAAAGTGCATGAAAAGTTCATCTGATACAACTGTCTTTCGAAAGGCTGTTTCTTCACACCCTTACATAAGGTAAAAAGGACCCAAACTTGAACCCCTGCTTTTTATACACTGCCTTGCATTCTACAGAGGGGAAATGACCTCCCACGGGCCAATGCAGCTCAGAATCGGGCCTGGAGAGAGTGATTTTTTTTTTTCAGTGTGAAGGCCTGACACATGCTAACTACTCTTCCAGCAATCATTTTATTAGCATCCTTTCTTTGCTGCTATTAGCAGAGATGTGTCCCTGCAGTCCCATCCTCCAGAGTGATCCAGCCCATTCATTATAGGCTCATTACCTGCGTCTTCTGAAGGCAACGGTTGCCTGATTTCCTGTTCTGCGGTGTCAGCTGCTGGGGCTGCTTCCGGTGGTGGCTGCGGGGGGGCAGGTGGAGCCTTTACTGGAGTTGTGGATTCTGGTGTCTCAAATGCTTCTTCAGAGTCGGAGCTCCTAAAACAGAAAATAAGAGCCTCATTAACAGCCTGGGCTTATTGCATCGAGTGGGCATTCAAATTTGGAAGGGACAGGTTAAACTATTAAATGCAAGACTTTCTGAGTCGAGGGAAGCAAAGCTCAGTCGTCAGTCTGCCTCTGCATTTCCCAAAGGCAGACTACACCCAGGTGACTCTGCAGTATGATGTCCAGGGCAGAACATCATTATTGCAGGTTCTCTTTGAAGAAATCTTTTGTACCGCTGAAGATTTCTGCGTGTCACAAAAGTGAACATGCACTTGAAAAGTAAACACTTCCTGAACAGCCTGCTTTGCAGTGTAAAGGAGGCTTGAAAAGGAAAGACAACAATGGAACCTTTTGAAGAGTTTCTGAAACTTTTCTTGGCATGATCATATGCAAACCAACTCAGGGAAAAAACAAAGGGAGCTTCTCAGGAGAGTTTCGGGGCCCTATTAAAGACGCACTCAAAACTGGTCTAGTATTAGGTTTCTATATGTGTGCTTACAGGCTAGCTAGCACATACACTATAACTGGAAAAGTGACTGAGCAGCAAACTTCTGCACCGCCCAACCCCTCAGAAATATCACATTTCATCATAGTGGCATTTTTACACAGCACTTCAGGCAGTAGTAAGCATACTGGTTTGTTATCCGAGATAAGACAAGGCTGGTAAATGAGCAGAGTTTTGTATGCTGTCAATAATACATTTCTACCCCTCCTTCATTACAAACACAGAAAACAGAAGGTGCACAAGAGGTGAAAGCACATAAAGGATGCTATGAAAAATGGTGCCAACCAAATGAAATGCAAGCTTAGAAGGCTACAGCTGTACAAAGAGATGGTTAACCTAAAAATGTAATGGGGGGAGAGGGGCTATACACAAGGACATAACAAATTGCACTAAAGGGAAGACCACTTTAGGAAACTGTCCTAGCTATTTGCTTTTATAGGCAAAATGAAACTACAGCATAACATTTTGATTTCTCTTCATGTAACTTTGTTGAGCAAAAAATGCTGTTACAATACTGTCTTGGTAATTACTTAGCAAGCATTTCTGCTGCTCGGATGCAGTTTTTCCCACTGGTCTATAATACAATGAATTGAATGGGGTGACGGTTTCCTGAAAAACAGGACTGACTTGCCTATTTCCAGTGAGTCTCTGCATGGCTAGGAGACTGTAGTCTCCGGTACTTCTCACAGCTGTCCACATCCATCGCGCCCACTGCATTGGGGACAAAATTTGCCATGAAGTGAAAGCCATTTCATCCCAAAGAAGTGCTCTACAAGTCGTCCTCATACAGTACGTGGAATCAAGGACTTCTTTGACTTAATTAAAATTAAAAGAAAACTCCATCCTGCCAAGCCATAAATTCTGTTTGCATTCTTGAAGCTTTTGGATTATCTTAAGCAGCTCCCCGTCAGACGAAGTGCAAGTGCTCGACTTGCTTTCTGTTACATTTGCTTAAATCTCTCAGCATGATGCCTGCGTGGGCTATCGTAGAAAAGAGCCCAGCGTTGTTCCTGACAGCTCAAGGGGCTGGATGGACCGGATTTTCTCCGACTAGCTCTGCAGAATCCCAATGAGAGCTCGGTCTCGCTAGCTATGTTGTCTCAGCACACACAGCTGCTTGGACTCTGCCATTAACTCTGCAACTATTTGATTCCCACTACACCTGCGCAAAGCAAAAGGATTTTAGCTAAGTATTATCCTCTTTTGTTTGGTTGATGGGGTTTTCTTTTTCTTTTTGCTTTATTTTTGTTCACTGGCCAGGCCTCCTGTAAATAAAGTTACCTCCTGCCAGGAGAAGTGCACAAAGATTGAAGTACTGCATCTGTTTATCCATTATTTTTATGTCAGCTTCTCAACATACAGTCTTTGTTTCCAAGTTCAGATCATATTTGTTGAAGAGGCTACGAGACAGAGTGAGTTAATGGGAAGCAGCGGGCTGGAACTTTTTTAATTACCTCCCTTCAAATATGCATCCCCCTTTAAGTTTACAATAACGTAAAGACCAAAAAGGACTGTAAACAAAGAGCTTCTGTAAATTGAAATAGAGCCACACAATGAGCGTCCTTAAAACCAAGGCAATGTTTTTCCTTTCCCTGACAAATTTAGGAAACTTTAACTGGAATGGAAACATTTCAAGGGAAAACAGCTATTGTTTGATTATTTTGAACAGAGAAAAAGTAAATGTTTCCTAGCCTAAAACCTAAAATTAGAAAGTTACAATCTAAGTAAAGGTCTGAAAATTGCACAAATTAAGAGTACAGTATATCAATTCCTTGATGTTTTATACACCACAGAATGGATTTATTTTCTTTCCTTCCCCTCAGACATATGAATATAACTTTATTACATCAGGATAAATATACAGTAGTCCTAAAACAGTAATAGCATATTATTTTGAACATTTATTTTCTAGATATATTATATACAGCACAAGTTATATGTATTGTTCATGTACATATACAATTCTATATTATATACAGTGTGCTGAAAAAGTTTCCACACCTTAGTCACACCTATTATAAATGTATAATTGTGCTTGATGGCACATGTTCTATTTTTATGTTGGCACCGTTGAGAGGTTACTTCTGTTTGTTTCTCTTTATAGCAGAAGTACCATAATTGATCTCATGTTTTCTATGGGTAATGGGGCCACCACCCACACTCCAACTGTTGGATGAATCTGGAGGAAATACCAGGAATTCAAATGGACTTTTCTACATAAGACAAAGGAATGCCATATACTTATGTCAATGAAGAATAAAACAACCATCAAATTGTGAAATCAAATTCTGTTGCCTTCATGAATCTGCAGGCAGTTCTAATGCCAGTGCTGAAGTTCATAGTTTTCTTTATTATCAGCAGCAGCAGCAACAGAATGACAGCAAAAAAATCCCTGTCTCTATCACTGCTGCTAAGCCAGCGAGCAACATTAAAGCCAATAAATATCATATCAAATTCATTCTGATGCTGCTGGTGATATTATGACTAGCAACACAGTCAAGAAATTACACTATTCAGAAGGAAATGGAAGAATGATCTAATACCAAAGAGGTCCTCCCCATTGCAGCCAGCAGGTTGTGGAAGGAGCAGAGCTATGGATGCCTGTGCATGCACAGACACACAGAGGCAGACACACACACACACAGAGCTGGACTTCCAACAACTGCCAGGAAGTTTGGGAAGCGGCAAAGGGTAGACAGAGTAAGAAAACACCAATTCCTCCCAGTAGCCAAGATGATGCAGGATTCCTTGAACTCCGGGATGAATGATGGAGTCCAGACATAGGTCCAGCCATGATCCACAACATGGGTTCAGGCCCTATCTTTCAGTTCCAGCTTTGGATGGAGCTCTCCCCAAGTGAACTCACTGGTTTAGTTATTTTTCCAAGTGATTAAGGACATCTAATCTTCCAGTCAGTAGGTAATTTTCAAGCGTTTAAAATGCAAGCATAGAAACCCTAAGTGGAGCATTTACTCTTAAAATAGTATTTTGTATTGATAACAATAATGTTGCTGTAACCTTCACAGATATGGGTGGTTAAAGAGCAGATGACTCCAAACTACCCCTGCCTTGCAGACTACATTAAGGCCAGTGACCTCAGTGCATTCAAGCTCCCTGCCGTGATGTCAGTCTGAAACCTTGCCTCCAGGTTCAGATCCCAGCTTTGCATCAGGAATCCTGAAAGCCCTGAAAACCACAGTTCAAACCAGGGTTTCCAGAGTCTCTGCCACAGGACTGGAAGGAGTGGGAAGGGGATTTGCTCAGGGCTTCCAGGCTCCATTTCACACCGTTGGGAATCTGGAAGCTCTTGATTCTTTGCTTGAACACAACTCCCAGACTCCCTCCTTAATGTGGGGGGACTCCCGAGTCTATCCCTGACTTTAGGGGTAGCCAGCTCCATTGTTATTGTATAAAAAAGTGGGTATTGCCCTTTCCTTTCTGAAGTTTTACTTTACTTAACACCTCATTCAGAACTGTTAAAAAAAAAAAAGCCAGAGGATGAACCCTGTGATTTGCTCAATGCCTTGCATCAGCATTAGTGGATCTTATTCCCCTTTTCTAACTGCATTTCCTTTGGAAATATTAATCCAGACAGGGCATGTCTACATGTGCATTGATGCGCTTTCCTAATGCACATCAAATTTGGGACCTCCAATATGAGGTACTAAAATGTGCATTAAGCTGCACAAATGTGCAGTAGCAAGAGCACACTCTTTTTCAGTGACGCTTAAAGCACGGTAGCCTATTCTACTGCGCCTTAGTGTATCAGCACAGTTTTTTACATGCCGCCTTAATGTGCAGTAGAATAGGCTACTGCACATTCAAGCGGATGTGTAGACGTGCCCACAATCCAGATAATTACTTCTCCATGATACAGCAACAACTAAAATACCAAAAACACTCCAGAGCTGTGATCCAAAGGAAGTTCCTCCTTGAAACAAAGGCAACTTGTTCTATTCTGCCAGTGCACAAAATTAAGTGATGTGTTCTCCATGGATTTAGGCTGTCGGGAATGTGAGAATATCATCACACTGTAAACCAATATGAGATGTGAAACATAAGTCTCACATTTAACTGTCAAATCCACCTTAAACGTTTACTGTTTAAGATAGAATCAGGTTCCAGAATTGTAACATAACCATATTCTCCTTCTTAGAGAGAGAGAGAGAGAGAGAGAGAGAGAGAGAAAGAAAGAAAGAAAGAGATTAATACATGCACATATATAAAAGAAGGTTAAAGATTAAAGTATTATTGCTTCTGTGTGCAATCACTGTGTTTACAAAATGAACAAGGAAAAATAAGTAAAGTTTATGTAAAGTTTATGTAAGCAGGAGCACAGTCTCAGTACCTCAATGGTTTCCTCTAGGATTTGCTTGCAAAATATACAAAGGGAAAAAGGAATAAGAAGGTATAATTGTTTTTTTACCACTTCTAAAATTAATAATATGAAATACAAGTAATGATTATAAGCAATAATGCACTGGGT